GTGTCATCAGCATACAGGTGACACCTCACCCCAAATCTCCTAATGGTGTGATTTAACCACCAACCTTCTTCCCAGGAAACTCTGAGAACAGGGGTCTCCTACCACCTATCAGCACCCTTAACAAACGACAGTTCTCAGGATTTTGGGGGGAGGCCATGACTGCTCAAAGTGGTATGTGCAGATGTGGCTGCAGCCCCAAGTCTCTTAGGCTTTAGGTCTCTTGGCATCTCCCAGCGTTTGTGTTTACATCTCTTGTTTGTGATGAGTCCTTAAAGTTGAACAGAGGCATCTCGGCTTCACGGAAACCTCCCATGTGAAAGGAATGACGATTGTTCTCCAGTGCAGATTAAGCAATAGAGAGATGAGACCACAAAACAGACCTTGCTGCCTGACGTCAGAAGCCGCAATAGTCATTTCTGTACGGCTACAATTTCCATCCAAGTAAAGGGCAGCCAAGAGTATTTAAACATCTAAGACATAAATAATACTCATTTGCAGTATTGGAGGAAGTGTTTGTATGGAGAGGCAACCCTTAAAATAAAGAATGAGCCATGGATTTTAGCTATGTTAAGAGAGTCGATGCAAACATAATTACAGAGTACATGAACAACTTCCAGAAGTCAGTAGGTGGTTTCCTTTAAACTTGCTCTCCGTTTTCTTTTTCTGAGCCCCTTCCTCCTGCCGGTTGGCAATTTCCTTTTCTGTTTATGTATCTGTTCCTTTCCAGCTTGGTTTCTCTCATCCACTCGCAAATGTGGGCTTTTTAAAAACAACAACAACTGTGCCTGGCATCATCCCATGCCTTTTCCTTCTTGGTCTGAGCTCAAGATATGTGCCTTCTTCCTCTTGGCTCTGTGAAGTTATATCGAGAACTGGCTCCCATTTGCTTGACTCCCTTTGTTCGGTGTCCCCTTCCTTAATTCCCCCCTCCCCATTCTTCAAATGAAAAGGTTCCCTATCATGCTCTTGTCTCCTAGGGTTGCATTGCTTTGAAGTGAATGAATCAACCACAGAGACAAATGGATTAAGCCTCTAATGTCTTGGCATGGCAGTGGATTCCAGCAGCTGCCGCTGGATTCCATGGGCACAGCCTTCCCTAAGGTAGTGGAGCCAGCAGTGTCCATTGCAGCCGCCTTCAAAAGATGCACAATTTGTCCATTCAAGTCAGTTTCTCAGCAACAGCATCACCCTACGTCTCATTGCAGTCTTTACTTATTCGCAACCCAGTTCCCAATGTTCCCCTCCCCACCTTTGCTCCTTGCACAAGATTGTTTCAGCGGATGTACAAAGAAATATTCCTCAGCTGGTTTTCACAGATCCATAAAAATCAAATCAAATCAAATCAAATCAAATCAAATCAAGGTCTGTTAGATGGACCAAAGGTCCGTCTATCTATCTATCTATCTATCATCTATCTATCTATCTATCTATCTATCTATCTATCTATCATCTATCTATAACACACACACACACACACACACACACACACACACACTTTTACATCTTATACAGTTTTTTTTTTACTTCCATCAATCACATCTGAAAATTTTCCATTCTATTCACTTAATATACATTTCTTACTTTCACTATTACATCTAAATCTCATAACTCATATCTCTATTCTTTCTCTACTTTGCAATGTTTCATATATTTCTCCTTACAAAACTTCTTGTTGTCCTACTAGCGTAATTTGTTGATTACAGTTGCTCTTCAAATAGTTCGTATATTTCTTCCAATCGTCTGTAAATCTCTGGTCCCACAGGTTTCGAATCCTTCCCGTCATTTTATCTAATTCTGCGTAGTCCATTAATTTTGTCTGCCATTCCTCTTTTGTCGGAATTTCTTCTTGCTTCCATTTCTGGGCTAACAATACTCTTGCCAGACCAAAGGTCCATCTAAGCCCACCATTTGAGAGCAGCATGTGCCTAGATGAGGGATGGTTAATCTGTTACATCAAACATTTAAAAACTTCCCTATACCGTGGAACCTTGGTTCTCGAATGGCTTAGTTGACAAACAAATTGTCTCCCGAATGCCGAAAACCCAGAAGCAAGTGTTCAGGTTTTCAAACATTTTTTGGAAGCCAAGCATCTGATGCGGCTGTTGGCTATTGTTTCCAGGGTGCCTGCACCAATCAGAAGCTGCGCCTTGCTTTTTGAATGTTTCGGAAGTCGAATGGACTTCTGGAACCAAGTTTGAGAACCAAGGTTCCACTGTCCAGGACTGCCTTGAGATGTTTTCTAAAGGTTGTATAGTTATTCATCTCCTTTGTTCGAGGGTTGCATAATTCTATGCCTTCCAACATTTGGGCGTTCCCATCAGATATCAAAGAAATAAACAACCATCTGACTTTTAGAAGACATTTGAAGGCAACCCTGTATTGGGAAACTTTCAATGTCTAATGTTTTACCATTTTTATGTGCTGTAAACCACCCAGAGTGGCTGGGAAAACCTAGCCAGATATACGGAGTATAAATATTACTACTACTACTACTACTCTGGTGAAAATAGGAATGTCCTAAGGAAAAGCGGGACACACCGGGATCCAATCAGAAACTGGGGTAGCTTTTGTAAATCCAGGACTATACCTGTAAAATAGGGACACTTGGAAGGCCTGAACTATGACTCTGATCAGTCCCTGAAAGCATGGCCAATGATTAGGACGGATGGATGGGAGTTGTAGTTCAGCAACATCTGGAGGTTTGCCACCCTTGAGCAAGATACTTCTGAAAAGCTCAGGGCTTAAAGGCAGCGCTTCTCCTCCACCCCTTGTTTTCCAGCAACAGATGTTCCGAGGTCTATAGTCTCTGAACATGAGGTTTCACTGAGTCACCACGACAAATGCCTTGTGGATGAGGCTATAGCTCAGTGGTGGAGAACATGCCTCCATGCATTAGGTACCCTGGCACCAGGAAAGTTCAGCCTAGGACATTGTTAAGTCGGGGTGATGGGGAACGTCTGATGGACTATATTGTATTTTAATATTTTGTTGGAAGCCACCCAGAATGGCTGGGGAATCCCAGCCAGATGGGCGGAGTATAAATAAATCATCATCATCATCTGGTCCATAGGCTACACCAGTCATCCCCTATATAATTAATGTTTTGGTATCATAAACATCTCCCCCTACATTTCCCAAAAAACATTGTGCAGCATATAGGTTTCATGGCGTAAGATGCCTTTTAATTGTTCCACGAGCCAAGTGCTCTCTTTGCAAAAATGTTTTCAAATAATACGTTTTCAATGTGTGCAGGTAAATTAGAATCAGAACCATATAATATAATAATATAAGAAGCCTTAGTTCAGGTGCCATTTCTATACAATGGTACCTCGGGTTAAGTACTTAATTCGTTTCGGAGGTCCGTACTTAACCTAAAACTGTTCTTAACCTGAAGCACCACTTTAGCTAATGGGGCCTCCTGCTGCCGCCGCGCCGCCAGAGCCCGATTTCTGTTCTTATCCTGAAGCAAAGTTCTTAACCTGAAGCACTATTTCTAGGTTAGCGGAGTGTGTAACCTGAAGCGTATGTAACCCGAGGTACCACTGTATTTCAGATTATAGCCATCGATTTCCTCTGATCCGATGGCTTCCCTAAAACCAGTGCTTTCCCCAGAGAAAAATAGGTGCCGGAACTCACCATGAAGTTGTTACAGTAAGTCGCCAGATGACTCGGGGTGACCCTGAACAGATGCCAGTTTGACAACAGCCACATTCACCACCCGTGGAGGTACTAAAAACTATGCCAAGTGATCTCCCTAGTTGTTTTGGGGGTTGCCCTTGTTTCTGGTGCAGGTCAAATAAACACACCCCTAATCCCCTCATTCTCTTAGATTCAGGCAGATGACTAGGGCAGATCAGAAGCTTCAAGGCTGCCCCTGCTACATGGGAGACAGATTGAAGAAAAGAAAATACGCATTGGCCCTGCCCTGTAGCTTGACCAGTCACGGCTAGGGGCAGCTGGGAGCTAGGTGGAGTCAAGAAACAGAGTGGGGGGCACCGGCCTACAATGGCGCCCAACTGAGAGGTGCTGGAATTGTGCTCTGGCTGAAAAAAAGCATTGCCTACCACCTAGTGAGGACGTGGGTGGCGCTGTGGGTTAAACCACAGAGCCTAGGACTTGCTGATCAGAAGGTTGGCAGTTCAAATCCCCATGACGGGGTGAGCTCCCATTGCTCAGTCCCTGCTCCTGCCAGCCTAGCAGTTTGAAAGCACATCAAAGTGCAAGTAGATAAATAGGTACCGCTCCGGTGGGAAGGGAAACGGCGTTTCCATGCGCTGCTCTGGTTCACCAGAAGTGGCTTAGTCATCCTGGCCACATGACCCGGAAGCTGTACGCCGGCTCCCTCGGCCAATAAAGCGAGATGAGTGCCGCAACCCCAGAGTTGGCCATGACTGGACCTAATGGTCAGGGGTCCTTTACCACCTAGTGAAGGAAATTAGTGGGATTACAAAGTTACATGGAAATTCAGTTGTTGGTGATTTGAATGCACGTGTCCTTCTCTTTATAGAGTAAGTATTTGTCACCTGGGAGCAGAAACTTCCCCAGTCTTCCCACTGCTTTGTCATGTCAGGTGCATGACATGAACACGTGTGAGTGACCTTTCAATGCTCTAAAGAAGAGAATATCAGAAATCATGGCAGGCTCTGCGGTGGGGAGGTAGTCAAAATAGCTCCCCTTCTCTTGATTGGCTGGTCATGGTGTCAATCTGGGCTTCCAAGGGTGGGGATTGGCCAAGGTCCAATAGAGGGTTTGTCCCTCCCTCTGCATCTGAGACCAGTTCTGTCTGTTAAACTGGCAAATTCAAATTTGTCCCTCCCTCGGCATCTGAGACCAGTTCTGTCTGTTAAACTGGGAAATTCAAAGAGAGCTTCCTCTTTGTCCAAAGAACGCTCAAATGCGGATGTTCTAACATCCGTTGATTTCTTGCTTTCCTACGTGTCTTTGTTCTGAGAGCGAGAGAGAGAGCGAGAGAGCGCATATGTGTATCTCTGCCTTTGGAAATGGGGATGACTCAAAGACCCATTTCTGCAACCTGGTAAGCTGAGGGTGCTTTTGGACAAACAACATCATGGGTCAGGTAGTGTAGGAAGCTTGTATGGTTATACAGGTATCTTATATATATATAAAAAGTATCAAATTTCCTTAAAGAAATACAAATTATTTTTTAAATTGTCTTCTATGCCATTCCCTCTCAGTCTGCCCATGACTTCTTTAGCAAATATGCTACTGATTGGACAATGCATGAAACTCAGGGCTCTTTTAAGTTATTTTATAAAGACACATATCTCTAAATGTGTTTTTAGTCAGAAAACTGCTGTGTGCTGAGGTTCAAGCCTTGCAGCCAATCTCACATTTTAATTCCCAAAGGACATTACAGAAATATCCCTTTGCAGATGGTGGGTCAGTGATGAGGCTTGCCTGACTTCCTGCAGAACCAAGTCCCATAAGTGGATAGACCTATATATTTAAATTTTATGATACGCTGGCCATGCTGGGCAGCTTCCAACACATATAAAAACATAATAAAATGTCAAGAATTAAAAACTTCCCTATACAGGGCTGCCTTCATATGTCTTCTAAGAATTTGTAGTTATTTATCTCCTTGTGTAGTTATTTATCCCCTTGGCATTTATGCCCCTTGGTATCTGAAGAGAGGGTCTTCCACAGAGAGGGGGCCACTACAGAGAAGGCCCTCTGCCTGGTTCCCTGTAACTTCACTTCTTGCAGTGAGGGAACTGCCAGAAGACCCTTGGAGGAGGACGTCAATGTGTCCAGGCTGAATGATGGGGCTGGAGATGCTCCTTCAGGTATACAGGGTCAATGCCGTTTGGGCTTCAAAGGTCAGCACCAACACTTTGAATTATGCTCGGAAACATACTGGGAGCCTATGTACTATAAATCCTTTAGGGCCAGTGTTATATGGTCATGGCTTTCAGTGCTTAGTAAAGTCCCTTCTGGTGGTGTGCCCATCCCAGCTGTGTAACTCTGCCCCAGCTCCTGCCAACCTAGCAGTTTGAAAGCACACCAGTGCAAGTAGATAAATAGGTACCGCTGCGGTGGGAAGGTAAATGGCGTTTCCATGCGCTCTGGTTTCCGTCACGGAGTCCTGTTGCACCAGAAGCGATTTAGTCATGCTGGCCACATGCTGGCCACCGGAAAGCTGTCTGTGGAAAAGCGCCAGCTCCCTGGGCCTGAAAGCGAGATGAACGCTGCAACCCCATAGTCGCCTTTGACTGGACTTAACCCTCCAGGGGTCCTTTACCTTTTACCTATTTCATGACTGAGAGAACTGCAATGATGACCCACTGAGCGTTGTTACTGACATTCAATGCACAGCTCCCCTGCTAGCGTATCGTCAGAAGGGAAGTATATTCACGACAGCACAGAAACGGCTGCTGCTTAGCTAAGCGCAGTGTCTTCTGGCAAAGCGTGTTCTCCTTCATGGAGAGCACGTGTTGCGGTGGAGGCAGACAAGATACTCCAAAGTTGTGGGGCGGGCTAATTGATCATTGGCCACTGTTGTGATTGGGCTTCCCTTGTTGTTGGGATGAAGTTAATGTTGCCATTATGTGATTGACAGCCAGAAATGTTAAAACTCCCTGCACGAAGCGTAGAGCTTCGTCTTTTCACTCCGTGCATTGGATTGCCCGTCCCCCCCCCCCATATTTAAGGTTGTTCACATTGACCTTGCTATGCCTGTCATGGGGTCGTCTGCTCTTGGGGCAGGGGCCTGGTAGGAATTTTGTCCATCTGGCTGATTGGCTGGGGCCATTTGGTTATCGCCTACTGCGTAGCAAATTGTCACAACTTGTAAGGCTGCGGTTAGGCATCGGTTTATGGTTTGGTTGGTAGAGGGGCATGGATTGGCTGTGCCTGCCCCTCAAACTCTGCTGCTGCAGGGTATTCCTTTAAAGGAATACAGGGGCTCAACATTGCTTTTGTCCGAACCCTGTCAAGGGGCTAGGGCCACACAAGAGCGCCTGGTTGCATTTGGGGAGGGCTGAGGGCAGGTTCCCTGCTCCGTCGCTATCCCAAGTGTATTCCCCTTTTCTGACTTTCGCAGGCTTGCAAAATGTCAGCCTGTCCCCACTGGGGTCAGATAGTCGCAATCAATGCCTAAGCAACCACTCACATTTTTTGTATTTTAATAAAGTTGTGGCCAAAATTATGCCAAAAACCTTAAACAAAAATTCTGTGGGGGGGCCACTAGGGGGCGCATTGGAAGATGGCCGACAATACCATCTCTCCGACCCACACGGGGTAATTAAGAGGCTGTTATGGGAGTAGGCAGCCTCCCTTGTGCCCCAAGGAAATGGGGAACACTGCCCTTGCCTGCTGTGCCCATAAATCACCCCCTAATTTGAAAGAAGGGGTGAGGGCCCTAGGCAAAATGCCCCCCGTGTGGACATCGGCTCTCCTGGACGCTGTCTCTGATCACGCACTAGTTGCAGCAATTTGGAATAATTAATTACAAAAGAAGCAAATGCACATATTTCAAGTGAAGAAGGGGAGTGAAGTCTGCTAATTTAAGTGACCTCTGCGAAAGAAGACAACGGGCTGGAGAAACAGGAATATTTTACGATGAAGATACACCAAAGGCGGGGTATGTTGACAACGGGGCTGAATGGGGGGGAAACCTTTTTTACTTTCCTTCCATGTGATTTACAAGAACCCCTCCTCATTAGAACCATTGGTTGAACTGACCCAAGCAGGATGATTAAGGTCTGTGTGGAGATAAACTTTAACCAAAAGTATGCTTTATGGAGACCGAGAAGCAATAAGAGCTTTTGGGAATGGCGCAGCAATTAATTCGGAGTCGCCATCTTGCCAAAGGATTTATAGCTGGGAGGCAGAACGGATTTGTTTTCAGACTGCATTCCTAGTGAATCTCCTCAGAGGTTTTGAGAAAGGAGGCAGATTGGTGAAGATTAATGACGCTAAGACTGTTTTGATGTATGGAAGTGATGTTATATGGAAAACGTCTGGATATGGCTACTGGACAAAAAAAATAATATCCACGCAGGATTACAAACTGTTCTAACCAGCTTGCGGAGACTATCAGAGGTCACAAAGAGAAAGGAAAAATATATGAAAATAACAACAAGAGATGTGGAAAAATAATAAGAAAGGACTGGATAGTACTGTGAACATCATAAGGTTAGATTTGTGGACATTAAAACAGCAGTAAGAAGCAAGAAGTTGATTGGATCCCTTTGGAACTTGAAATATGGGTACCTCCAACAAAATTTTAAAATTCGGCTGTGTAATTTGGAATTTATGTAATTTGGTTTGATTTGATGCGATTGGTCGGTTAATAAAAAAATATTCTTAAAAAAAAACCAACAAAAATTCTGTGTGATGTGTGAGTTATTTGGGGTGTCTTGGGGACCTCGACACGAAAATGGCTTCCAAGTCTGGCTGAGTTTTGCACCGGAAAACTACTGTGCTCCTTCCAGCCAGCCCATTCATGCAGAGGGGGGCGGAAGGAGGAAAACAAGCTGCGTTCTGCAAAGATCCCACAGTGACTTCTGTGGTACTCTAGGTCTTGGGGGTGGGATGTCAGTCAGCTTCATTATCAGATTGTTGTCATGTGGCCTGCTTTTCCACAAATGCGAAGGTAGCGCAGAATGTCATGCCCAGTTAGGGTCATGAGAGGACACCCCTTATCTGTACCCCCAGCTGCGTCGGCACTGGCTTCCTATATAGTCTTCTGAGAGGAATTTGAGTGGCTGGGTTTCACAGGCTCTTTCGAGGGATGAGTAAAGGCATCTCCAGCTGTATCTCTGCTGTCAGTGCCTTGTCGGTCTTGCAGCGGCCGTGGGGAAAACCTGCCCTCCCCCTGGAAGTCTGCTACTGAGCACTGGGCCTAGAGAACGAAAATGAAGCAGCGAAGATACTGTAAATGGCTCCTGGCTCTCTCTCTCTCTCTCTCTCTCTCTCTCTCTCTCTCTCTGTGTGTGTGTATTCCTTTTCCATTAAGTGGGAACGTACAAGGATGAAATACTGCTGCATAGAGGAACCATGCGATCCTCAGACTAAACACAGTGGTCTGTCTCTCTTAATGGATTTGCCGGCTTTGTTTAAAGAACTTGAAAGCTCATTTGTTGCTGTAACCTAACCCCTCCACTTTTCATTTCCCTCTCTAAGTTTGGCAGAGGGAACTGGGTCCTCGAGGCTCTCCTCAATGCTGGAGAGAACAACCCATAGCCCTGCTATGGGCAGGTTGTGGTGTAAGTGGTTCAGAGCGGTGGACTTGTAATCTGGTGAACTGGGTTCGCTTCCCCACTCCTTCACATGCAGCTGCTGGGTGACCTTGGGCTAGTCACACTTCTCTGAAGTCTCTCAGCCACACTCACCTCACGGAGTGTTTGTTGTGGGAGAGGAAGGGAAAGGAGAATGTTAGCCGCTTTGAGACTCCTTCGGGTAGTGATAAAGCGGGATATCAAATCCAAACTCCTCCTCTTCTTCTTCTTCTTCTTCTTCTTCTTCTTCTTCTTCTCCTGTCCCCAGGACCTTCTCTGACACAGGTCTTAGCCAACTTTGCCTCCATAGCAGATTGGAGATCCAGTGTTAGCACAAGGAAACAAGGATCCAAAGGGCCAGAGGCAGATGGCAGGGTCCAAGGCAGTCCTTCCATACCAAGTTGGCAAGGTAAAGAAAGCAGATCCATCTTTGTAGCTCCTTATTGGGACTTTTTGCTCACATTGAACAGCTGAATGGACTTATAAGGGCTTATAAGACCTTATAAGACCTAGACAGCATCATAAAAAGCAGAGACATCACTTTGCCAACAAAGGTCTGTAGAGTTAAAGCTATGGTTTTCCCAGTAGTGATGTATGAAAGTGAGAGCTGGACCATAAAGAAGGCTGATCGTGGAAGAATTGATGCTTTTGAATTATGGTGCTGGAGGAAACTCCCATGGACTGCAAGAAGATCAAACCTATCCATTCTGAAGGAAATCAGCCCTGAGTGCTCACTGGAAGGACAGATCCTGAAGCTGAGGCTCCAATACTTTGGCCACCTCTTGAGAAGAGAAGACTCCCTGGAAAAGACCCTGATGGTGGGAAAGATTGAGGGCACAAGGAGAAGGGGACGACAGAGGACGAGATGGTTGGACAGTGTTCTTGAAGCTACCACCATGAGTTTGACCAAACTGCAGGAGGCAGTGGAAGACAGGAGTGCCTGGTGTGCTCTGGTCCATGGGGTCACGAAGAGTTGGACACCACTAAACAACAACAAAGACATTGTGTGTCTAATTGACTTGTGGAAGCAGTTCTGCCTGTACTTTTGAGGGAGTGTCGGCTAACTTGATTGACAAATTAAGAAAATTTATCCTATACCCACTGAATCCTTTTGCATCACCGGGCGATTTAAGAACGACTGAAAACAAAATAAAACAGTCTAAGAGATTCTTGTACCATGGAAGGAGTGGCTTCTATAACAATTGGAGGAAATGTGCTCTGACAAAATAATTCTGGAGATCAATCAAGACTCAAATGTCATATTGCGGTGTTATGTACCATTCAACCCAGTGTGCCCCCTCCCCCCGTTAAACTAGGTGAGATAATTTCTGGACTCGTTGAGTTTCAGTAGAAGACATGTGGCATTTAAATGTCTCTTCATTTCTGCATGGCGGCTTAAAATAATATTTGAGTAGGCTGAAAGCCTAGGGAGAAATGAGTAGCTTAGACTGTTAGTCTTCATTGAGGCTTGGTATTTGTCTATTTTGTTTGCCAACAGGTATTCTGATATTGCTTATTCTGTTAAAAGGGATTTTCTTTTGTGCATTGAACCCTCCTCCCTCCTTCCACCTCCAGTAATATATATATATATATATATATATATAAATCTTTTTATTGAGTTTTTCACAAACAGAAATAAAACAATCTTTTACAGTCATCCTTTTATGTCATCTTATTTACACTGCGTATATTCACGCCCAGACTTCCTTCCTTCCCTGCTTCGGTTTTCTCAATATATATCTTCTCTTGTAGATTCTTATTCACTCTCTATACACATCACAGGATTTATGTTAACCCTGCTATAGTTTTTAAACTTCTACAGTTAATTCTTATGTATGTAACAAATTTACCCCACTCTTCTTCAAACTTTGTCCCTTTTTGGTCTCGAATTTTATAAGTCATTTTAGCTAATTCTGTATACTCCAAAAAAATTTTTTGTGTATATATATATATATATATATATATATATATATATATATATATATATATATATATATATGATGATGATGATGATGATAGATGAAATGCCTACTTTTGGGTCGTGCTCGAGTGGATTCATTCCAGACACCTTGAGACGGATCTGACCAATAATCCCGCTTTTCTAGAATCATGAGAAATTGGTTGGTTCAAAAGGAGAGTTATCTCTCTTTAGGCTTCTATTTCACTCGGGTGACCTGATGCACTGTAGATTACCTGCTTCTGAACAGCTCCAGCAGACTGTAATTTTGGCAAGTGCTCTTGGGCATCTCAGTTTTCACAGAACACAGGCCCCCTTTCGAGAAATAGCTGCCCTTCAAGTGACTGCAGTTTGGCCTCATTTGGTTAGGGGGTAAAAAAAAGAAAAGAAAAGAGCCACATGTTCACTTCTCCGGAGTGAGTGGTAAAGATATTCCAGAGGCAGCTGTTACAGGCATAGTTCTTGGGGGAAGGAAAAAAAATAATATTGGCGACAGATGATCTTTTTTTCTCAAAGAAGTGCACTACATTTATAAATATAGAAATTTAGAAATTGAGCATGAGGAAGCAGGCAAGCGCTGCTAATCTGTAAAGTAGCATTAATGCCTGCCAGACTAAATGTCCCACTTTTCCTTAAGATGTCCCTGTTTTCATCAGAGAAATGTTGGAGCCTACGGAGTTATGCAAGCCAAGGAGATAAGTAACTACACAGCCTTTAGAAGACATCTGAAGGCAGTATAGGGAAGTTTTTTAATGTTTGATGTACAGTGGTACCTCAGGTTAAGTACTTAATTTGTTCTGGAGGTCCGTACTTAACCTGAAACTGTTCTTAACCTGAAGCACCACTTTAGCTAATGGGGGCCTCCTGCTGCTGCCGCGCCGCCGTAGCACGATTTCTGTTCTCCTCCTGAAGCAAAGTTCTTAACCTGAAGCACTATTTCTGGGTTAGCGGAGTCTGTAACCTGAAGCGTATGTAACCTGAAGTGTATGTAACCCGAGGTACCACTGTATTATTATTATTATTATTATTAGTATTAGTATTAGTTGGAAGCCTCCCAGAGTGGCTGGGGCAACCCAGTCAGATGGGTGGGGTAATAATAATAATAATAATAATAATAATAATAATAATAGAATAGAATAGGATGTCCCTATTTTCTTCAAAGAAATGTTGGAGGCTATAATCCTGTATAATATATATATAACATGTTAAAAGTACCGTATTTTTTGCTCTATAAGACTCACTTTTTCCCTACTAAAAAGTAAGGGGAAATGTGTGTGCGTCTTATGGAGCGAATGCAGGCTGCGCAGCTATCACAGAAGCCAGAACAGCAAGAGGGATTGCTGCTTTCGCTGCGCAGCGATTCCTCTTGCTGTTCTGGCTTCTGAGATTCAGATTTTTTTTTTCTTGTTTTCCTCCTCCAAAAACTAGGTGCGTCTTGTGGTCTGGTGCGTCTTATAGAGCGAAAAATACGGTATCTTTAGAGCACAAAGAATCCTGGAAACTGTAGTTTGTTCAGAGTGCTGGGAATTTTAGCTCTGTGAAGGGTGAGCTACAGTTACCAGGATTATTTTTTGGGGGGGGTCTGGGGGTTCTTGAAACGTTTGGTGTGTATACAGAGGTCCATTGAGCATCTGAACTGGGCCTAAGTAAGTTCTTTTCGCCCCCAAAAGCCACTGGTTTTCTTTACAGCCATGCTTGTGACCAAAACATTCAGAATTCAGCACTAGGTCTGTTTGCAATTTCATTTCAAGCCAAAATGGCAGGCTTTGAGGCAGAGGTGGAGCGAACAATGGAGGAGGAAATTGGGAAGAAACGCAGAAAAATATGAAAAGGCAGAAGAATAAATACATTTAAGATCTCTGTGCCCAAAGAAGCGAAAAGTTTTCCACACACATTTTCGCGAAATAACGTAGGATCTGGCTTTGCAGGCTTACAGCTGGCCTGTATTTAAACGATTAAGGGAAAAGCCGCTGATTAACCTCTCTTGGCTCAGAAGCTGACATACAAGCATATTTGTTACTTGTTTGAAAATGATCTAAAGTCCTGGCTCCGTGCAGAAGAAGCGCTACGGGGTGTGAGGCTAAGTTGGGGTCATGTGGAGTTACTGTTCCTCTTAGCACCGTAAGCAAAAACCGTGGCTGTGCATTCATCAGCGGAGAACACTACTTGAGAGGGTTAGTCCAGGGGAAACCAGCCAATCTCTTAATGGAGTTGTGAGGGAAAGAAAAGGAGATACACTTTTTATGTAGATATTGATTTGCTAAAAGCAAGAGATACCCAGGTCCCTCCTCTGAATGCATAAAAACCACCTATATTTCCAGACCCTCCAAGGATCCCTGTTTTCCAGAGACAGTCCCGGATTTACAAAAGCCATCCAGGTCTCTTGATTTGATCCCAGAATGTCCTGCTTATCCTTAGGACATCCCTATTTTCATTGGAAACGTTGGAGGTTATGAAGTTATGCGACCCCTGAGCCAAGGAGATAAGTAACTACAGTGGTACCTCGGGTTAAGTACTTAATTCGTTCCAGAGGTCCGTTCTTAACCTGAAACTGTTGTTAACCTGAAGCACCACTTTAGCTAATGGGGCCTCCCGCTGCCGCTGCACCGCTGGAGCACGATTTCTGTTCTCATCCTGAAGCAAAGTTCTTAACCTGAAGCACTATTTCTGGGTTAGCAGAGTCTGTAACCTGAAGCGTACGTAACCTGAGGTACCACTGTATACAGCCTTTAGAAGACATCCCCTGCAAAGGGGAAGTTTTTGATGTTTAATGTTTATGGTGTTTTTGTATCTTTTGGAAGCCACACAACAACAACAACAATTTCCCAACAAGTTGTTGTTGTTGTTGTTTAGGATACCCCTATATTCACTTCAGGGATGCGGGTGGCGCTGTGGGTTAAAGTACAGAGCCTAGGACTTGCTGATCAGAAGGTCGGCGGTTCGAATCCCCGCGATGGGGTGAGCTCCCGTTGTTCGGTCCCAGCTCCTGCCAACCTAGCAGTTCAAAAGCACCTCAAAGTGCAAGTAGATAAATAGGTACCACTCCAGCGGGAAGGTAAACGGCATTTCCGTGCGCTGCTCTGGTTCGCCAGAAGCGGCTTAGTTATGCTGGCCACATGACCCGGAAGCTGTACGCCGGCTCCCTCGGCCAATAAAGCGAGATGAGCGCCACAACCCCAGAGTTGGCCACGACTGGACCTAATGGTTAGGGGTCCCTTTACCTTTTTATATTCACTTCATTATTATTTAAGATGCCCCTCTTTCTCCCCCTCTCAGTGGGAGAAGGATCCCAGTCCCTATACAGTGGTACCTTGGTTGTCGAATGGCTTGGCTCCTGAACAAATCAGCTCCCGAATGCCGCAAACCCGGGCGTCTAAGTGTTCCAGTTTGCGAACGTTTTTCGGAAGCTGAATGTCCGCCGCTGCTTCCGATTGAGGGCAGGAAGCTCCTGCAGGCAATTGGAAGCTGTGCCTTGGTTTTCAAACCGTTTCGGGAGTTGAACGGACTCCCGGAATGGATTAAGTTAGACAACCAAGGTCCCACTGTATCGTTCTCCCGGTGGCTGGGTATCACATGAGAGGCACCCCAGTTTTTGAACGGCAAACAGCTGAAAGGGAGAGAATTGGACACCTTCTTCTCCTTGCTGTTGTGTCAGTCAAATTTGCAGCTTCCTTGCAAATTCAGGGGTGGGGGGAAGCTGTGAAGAGGCTGATAATGTAGCTCCTTGTAGCTCCTCTAGCCCGGCTCCTAGTTCCTGTTATAGTTATAGTTGTACTTATTGTTATTTCCTCAGGAGGTTAATAAAGGAACAACTCCCCCTGGCCTAAAAAGGTGATGATGCACACGGAGCCAAATGATTTGCTGCCTGTCTGAAATGCAGCAGCTGTCCAAAGCTGATCGACTCATCCTTCTCCAGCAGGTGCAGTCGCAGCTGGTAGAAATGGCAAGATATTCTTGGGTAAGGAAGCTCAGACACTTTGGAATAAGCTGTTCTTTCTTCCTCTGTGGGATATGCAGTGATCCAAGAATTTGTGCCTATTGAACAATTCTGTTCAAAATGATGTAGCATCAGGGAGGACTCCCCCCCCCCATCAAATACACTTTGGAAGCAGTTGGAAAGGACCTTTTGAAAACGAGCTAGCAAGGCTTTTTCTTGCTCTTTTGAACAGTTCATTGCTATGCATATTTATTTGGACAATAAACCCTCTGTGGGTATGTACTAGCAAATTATTTATTTATTTATTTATTTATTTATTTATTTATTTATTCCCCGCCCATCTGGCTGAGTCTCCCCAGCCACTCTGGGCGGCTTCCAATCAAGTATTAAAACATGCAGAGGGTTAAAGCTTTAAATGCACTGTGTTTTCCACTTCCAGGAAAAGAATTCCCAGCAGTTTGGAAACTTTCCAGCTCGACTCTCACCTGAGTATTTCAGACAGCTGTAGTAGGGATCCCCCAATTCTCTGGGAAGATAATTCACTGTTTCTTGACTTTTAAAAACCATTCCCCTTCTTCGCCCAATCCCAGCCCCCAAACACAACCCCTTTCCCCTGTTATTCCCCCAAAGCCCAGCCGTAGCCATCTGTTTGGCAAATGAATGCACCTGAAAGGATATTACATAAGCACCTAGTTTGTTGCTAATCCTAGATTTTAAATTTCTTTTACAAGTGCCTTAAAATTACAAATTGTGTTTAAATAGGATTAGACCGGGGAGGGGTGGCTGGGTAAATGAAGGAATACAGTTCTTTCCAAACACACTGTCATTGTATATTCATGAATGTAGCCCAAGTCATTGCATTTTTTAAACTTTTAAGTCCGGTTGATTCAATATCTTGGTGGAGGAGTTACCGCAAGAGATGGACATTCAGGGAGTGCAACCCTGAATCTCTCCTTCTTGGTGTTGCATACCATCAACCATGGTATCCTTCTGGACCATCTCACAGGAGCATAAGAAGATACTTTGACAGATTTTGTCATTCCTGGGAGGCAGGTCCCAGATAGTGGTTCTCCTCCAGGGCGATCGACTTATGAGGTGCTGCAGGGTTCCATATTGTCCCCGTATGCTTTTCAGTCACTCTGCTGTCCAGAGGTTTGGGCATCAGTAGACTGATGGCACTCATCTCTCTATCTCCCCTTTTCGCCAGAGCCTAAGGATGCATTAAAGCTATAGTTAAAGCTATGGTTTCCCCAGTAGTGATGTATGGAAGTGAGAGCTGGACCACAAAGAAGGCTGATCGCCGAAGAATTGATGCTTTTGAGTTATGGTGCTGAAGGAGACTCTTGAGAGTCCCATGGACTGCAAGAAGATCAAACCTATCCATTCTGAGGGAAATCAGCCCTGAGTGCTCACTGGAAGGACAGATCCTGAAGCTGAGGCTCCAAGACTTTGGCCACTTCATGAGAAGAGAAGACTCCCTGGAAAAGACCCTGATGTTGGGAAAGATGGAGGGCACAAGGAGAAGGGGACGACAGAGGACGAGATGGTTGGACAGTGTTCTTGAAGCTACCAGCATGAGTTTGACCAAACTGCGGGAGGCAGTGGAAGACAGAAATGCCTGGCGTGCTCTGGTCCATGGGGTCACGAAGAGTCGGACACGACTAAATGACTAAACAACAACAAGGATGCATTGGGAACCATAAACTAACTACCTATCAGCTGCGAGTGACTGGATGTGGGAAAACATAGGAAGTGAATCTGGATTGAACAAGGACTGCTGGATCATCAGGTAACCAGTTCTTCTGGCAATAGGTGTTCAGCTTGTTTTAGACGTGGTTAGATCCGCAGACTTGGGCTACAGATGTGGGTGCCCAGCGTGCATTTTGGGGCCTCTTCCTCTGCCACAAGGCCTCTGTTGGTGTCCGCTACCTTCTGCTGATGGCGTTCTAACCTGTTTATTTACTTTCATTTGGTTTTTCCATGTGTCTGTTTGCAACATTTATTGTTTGCTTCTGTTACTTCTTTGAACAAAACCATTTAAAATTTAAAACATGCAAATAATAGGATTGTAAGGTAAAGGTAAAGGTAAAGGTAAAGGTAAAGGTACCCCTGCCCGTACGGGCCAGTCTTGACAGACTCTAGGGTTGTGCGCTCATCTCACTCTAGAGGCCGGGAGCCAGCGCTGTCCGCAGACACTTCCGGGTCACATGGCCAGCGTGACGAAGCTGCTCTGGCGAACCGGCACCAGAGCAGCACACGGAAACGCCGTTTACCTTCCCGCTATAAAGCGGTACCTATTTATCTACTTGCACTTAAGGGTGCTTTCGAACTGCTAGGTGGGCAGGAGCTGGGACCGAAGACGGGAGCTCACCCCGCCGTGGGGATTCGAACCGCCAACCATGCGATCGGCAAGTCCTAGGTGCTGAGGTTTTACCCCCAGCGCCACCCTGGATTGAATAGGATTGTAGCCTTACTGCAAATCCCGCAGGAGGTAAACACTCAGGCCCATCACCAATAGCCTAATTTTTCATCTAGTGGAAAGCAAGAAACAAACTTCTGCCCTGGCCAGTGTGAGGCGATAGGGCCTGGGATGTGAATCTGCCACTCTGCTCTACACCAATTTCCTTGAGAATTGACTTTTCAGTGATTAATTTTTTAAATTTGTCACTATGCAAGTAACTGGTGTGCATATATAACAACAAAGTAAGGACTCAGCTACATTAGTGAAGAAACAGCAATTTTAATGCACTATAAACATTCAACATCAGATGGCGCAAGAGAACAGGAATTTTAAAATGTGTGATTTTTCATAGAGATTTTTTTCTTTTGTTAAACCGATCAAATTTCTGACTTATTTATGGCAGGTTTTTCCCCTGTGTCTAGATCCACCCTAAGTTAGCAATCAATAGTAAAACAACAGCCATTTCGAAAACCAGCAGGCCATGCTGAGTGCAGTGATAAAAAACTTTTCACAAAGAGGCAGAGCTACCTGCCTCCCAAATGATAGCAGGGAGCAGGACTTTACGGATTTCTTTCAGCAGAGAGTCCTAGTATACCCGGGGCTGCTACCGAGAAGGACCTGTTTTATGTGGATGCTAATCGGGCCTCTCCATAAGAATTTGGAGCAGGCCCTCACCAGATGTTTCTCAGATTTGGGGAAGGCAGAGGGGAGAGGGGTTTGCCACAGAGCATACACTGAACGGTAGCCAACCCTGGCTCAGTGTTAAATGACTGTGTATGTTAGATATGTTCCCAAATACCTGGACTGTCACATTCACACATTTAGGTGTATACCTAAAAACACAGCACGTGCAGAGGCTTAGGATTAAACGGCGTATCACGGCACATTTCCTCAGAAATCATTATGCTCCTTCCCTCATCCCGGCAGTTCTCTGGCCTTCACCTAGCTTCACGAAGCTGAAATAGATATAAATACATATGAACAGTGTGGCCCCAGCAGCAAGAAGCAAAAAGGCAGCTTCCAGAAAGCTTGGTTTAGACAGATCGGCAGATACTGTTCTGTAGTGAAGACCATCTCCAGACGCCATCCATTCTGGAGCAGAGTTGAGTGCAGTCTCATTTTGCAGCACTTTTTCGAAGAGCTGGTCTGGAGTTTGTGCCTTCCTTAAGAAGGGCGAGTGGCAGGACTCCTGAGGTTTTGTGAATTCACTTAGGAATGGGTTGTCTTTTGCAGGGTCCTTAGAAGGAGGAGGCAGGAGAGGTGTTTCCAAGTTAGGGCTGGGAAGAGCGGGGCGAGTGAGGCGATCTCCAGAACAGCAAGGTACAGAAGGACATTTTTCTGGGTGCTTTTTGGAATGCGAGGAAGCATGTTCTCTTCTGCGGTGCTTTTTGGTGGGTGAAGAATCTCCTTTTGCGTGCCTTGGGGACGAGAGGTCTTCAGGGCGCCTTTTGAACTTTATTGAGTGAAAAACAGAATGGAAAGGTTTCTTACAGCAAGGACATTCGGCCTTGGTTTCCAACAAGTCCTGTGTACAAGAAAAGCAGAAGCTATGTAAACAAGGGTTTACATATAGCATATTGCCAAAAGTTCGGAAACAGAGAGGGCACGTGGAATATTGAGACGCATCAGGCGCCCTTATTGTCTGGTGCAAATCCTTTGTGCCAGCTTTGGGCGAAGGGCTTTTGGCCTCTGTGATCTCCTCATTTAGTGACATTGGATCTGTAAGTGAGAAGAGGAACATTTTAGCATCCGCAGTGCTATTAAGAAGGTACAGAACAAGGGTGGGGAAACTGTGGCCCTCTGGTATGTTACTGCGTTGCAATTCCTGTTATTTCTGGACTTTAGCAATGCTGGCTGGGGCGGACGGAAGAAGGGATCCAACATGGAGGGTCACAGGCTCCCTTCACGTGGTATTGAGCAATTTGGCATGTAACCTTTACAGTGACCTGCTGAACAACATCAGTATTCCCAACTGAGGACCTGAAACTTAAAGATACAGTCATACCTCGGGTTGAATGTGCTTCAGCTTGAGTGCTTTCGGGTTGCGCTCCGCGGCAACCCAGAAGTAACAGAGCGCGTTACTTCTGGGTTTTGCCGCTTACGCATGCGCAGATGCTCAAAATGATGTCGCGCGCATGCACGGAAGCGGCAAAATGCGACCCGCGCATGCGCAGACGCGCTGTCGCATCTTACGTTCTATCCAGGATGCAAATGGGGCTCCCGGAACGGATCCCGTTCACATCCCGAGGTACCGCTGTAGTGGCTTGTTGAAGGGTGAGGCAAAATTTGAATCCAAAGCTTCCTGGTATTTATTATTATTATTATTAATTAATTAATTTCAGTTATTTTAAATGATAAAAAGTCTCAAACCGGTTTGACAAAAGTAAAGTGCAACAAACAAAAACAGTCTAAACTCAGAAAATTTTAAAACAGTGATAATACAGAAATAGCGTGGTACCTCTAGTTACGAACTTAATTCATTCCGGAGGTCCGTTCTTAACCTGAAACTTTCCTTAACTAGAGGCGTGCTTTTGCTAGTGGGGCCTCTTGCTGCTGCTGCGCCACCGGCACATGATTTTCGTTCTCACCCTGGGGCAAAGTTCTCAACTCGAGGTAACTCTTCCAGGTTAGCGGAGTTTGTAACTTGAAGCATTTGTAAACTGAGGCATTTGTAACCCAAGGTACCACTGTATACAAATGCTCACCCAGCAACATAACAATAAGGGCCAAGTCTTACCCACACCACTAAAAGGCAAGCGCCACCATAGGCATCATTTATTAACCAGTGGCCTGGATTAGTCTGGTGCCTAAAACTGACAAAGGTATCACCAGGTGTGTCTCCCTGAGAGAACATCCCACAGATTGGGGAGCACCAATGATAAGGCTTGTTCTCAGGTACTCACCCTTCATACCACTCTTGGACTAGACTCAAATCTCAATCTCTTAGAGGCTGCGCTACACTATTGCCACCCAACAGCAGACCCTCCAACAATTCTCCGATGAAAATAGGGACGCCCCATTCCACAGTGATAATTTTACTATTTATACCCCAGACATCTTACTGGGTTGCCCCAGTCACTCTGGGAAGCCTCCAACATATATAAAAAACACTATAAAACATTAAACATTAAATAAACTTCCCTATACAGGATTGCCTTCAGACAGGAAAACAGGGACGTCCTAAGGAACATCGGGACATTCCAGGATCAAATCAGAAACTGGGACGGCTTCCTTAAATCAAGGACATCCCTGGAAAATAGGGAAACTTGGAGGGTCTGCAATAGCACCCAGACAGAAATTCAGGACAAATGTAAACTTTTGTATAGGCAAAGCTTCTAAGGCCTTATTTAGCTTTATATGTTAATAATAGCCTTCTGGAATTCGAGGAAAGCAAAAACTCATTGTAGTTTTGAAAGGTTCTGTCTGCCATCTTGATTCAAAATGCCATCTGATTGTACCCAAATATAGATGAAAAACAGCTCCTTGATCTCAGGAACCATCGAGCAAGATTTGGTTACAGTATCTTAAGAGCTGTCCGAACGCATAGAGAACAAACAGCTTTCCAAAATGTACAGTAGGTTTGGTATTTAGTTGCTAACCATTACCAGTGCAATTAAACAATTGCATGAATTAAACAATTCCTCCTCATGAGGCTGGAGGAACATTGCCTGGCTGTGAGTCGTGGAGGTCGCTCCCTGCAAGGCCCTTTCCACCTGGCCTAGAGGGTGAGACCCACACTCACCAGCCCCACTGAAGTGGCTCCTCATGAGGCTGGAGGAACATTGCCTGGCTATTGTTTTATTGATTTAATATGCTCTAAACTGCTTTGAGCTTTTTATTAAAAATATAAAGCGATATAAAAGTAATGGTAAAGGGACCCCTGACTGTTAGGTCCAGTTGTGGCTGACTCTGGGGTTGCAGCGCTCATCTCACTTTATTGGCCGAGAGAGCCGGCGTACAGCTTCTGGGTCATGTGGCCAGCATGACTAAGCCGCTTCTGGCGAACCAGAGCAGTGCACAGAAACGCCGTTTACCTTCCCGCCAGAGCGGTACCTATTTATCTACTTGCACTTTGACGTGCTTTTGAACTGCTAGATTGGCAGGAGCTGGGACTGAGCAACAGGAGCTCACCCCGTCACAGGGATTCGAACCACCGACCTTCTGATCGGCAAGTCCTAAGCTCTGTGGTTTAACCCACAGCGCCACCCACATCCCATAAAGCAGTATATAATTTTTAAAAAATAAATATCAATAAATATCTTAAGAGCTGTCCAAATGCATAGAAAACAGACAACTTTCCAAAATGTACAATAGGTTTAGTACTTAGTTGCTAACCATTACCATTGCAATCAAACAACTTATTACATGTTCATTCATCCCAACTTAGTCTTCCGTCCTCCCTTCCCCTCCCCTTCAACACAACCCTTGAAATTTCAAACCCACCCTAAAAGGTTCAGTTAAAACCTACGTATTTGTTATTGAATCTGTTACACATTCAGGCCTCTACATATGCACAGCAAAGAAAGAAATCAGGAAAATTTGAATGAGAGGAAAAAAGCAGGGGGAGAAAGCAAGGAAAGCGGGGAAGAGAGAAAGCACCAAATGATTTTCAACAAAAACCTTTTCATTCTGCATATACCCCATAAGTCTTCTTTATTCTTCTCTTACATACAGTGGTACCTCAGGTTACATATGCTTCAAGTTACATACGCTTCAGGTTACAGACTCCGCTAACCCAGAAATAGTGCTTCAGGTTAAGAACTTTGCTTCAGGATGAGAACAGAAATCGTGCTCCAGCAGTGCGGCAGCAGCAGAAGGCCCCATTAGCTAAAGTGGTGCTTCAGGTTAAGAACAGTTTCAGGTTAAGTACGGACCTCCGGAACGAATTAAGTACTTAACCTGAGGTACCACTGTACTTTGATTTTTATGTCACTGAAGTCTCATGAGATAAGCCAAGACAGTTTCATTAAGATCCAAACAAATTTATTGGGGAGTGGAATGGGGAAGGGGGAAAGTCATAAACCCTTAAGTCCCCAATGAATGATTTGAAAGCCCCATGACGGGTCCAGGAGATCCAAAAGAATTTTGATCAAACAGGTGAAAATTTCCTTGGGGGTGGACAATGAGGGGACAAGGTGTTCAGGCCTACCTGAAAATAGCAAAGATTGTTCAAGGTGTTACATTAGAAACCTGGGCCTTACATGGAATAATATGTTTTTTAATTTTAAAATAAATAAGCAATTACAATATACACAATAATTTCTGCTACATTGGGGGACTTGTGGCTGGGAAGGACAAACGTACATCTTAATGGCGAAGTGAGTTGCTCAGTGAGTCTCTCAGGAGATGCACAAGAGATGATGGAGGAGGAGCGAGGCTCTTCAAGGTTCCAAGACGGTTAGAGTTTGTGAAAGCTCCAACTGTCACTCCCAGTCCCGGCAAGCGTCCCTATTTTCCAGGGATGTCCCTGATTTAGAGAAGCTGTTTCCCAGATTCTGAATGTCCCTCTTTCCGTATTTTCATTGGAGAAATGTTGGAGGGTATGGAGTTATCTGGCATGGGACGCGGGTGACGCTGTGGGTAAAACCTCACCGCCTAGGGCTTGCCGATCGCATGGTCGGCGGTTCGAATCCCCGCGGCGGGGTGAGCTCCCGTCTTTCGGTCCCAGCTCTTGCCCACCTAGCAGTTCGAAAGCACACGTAAGTGCAAGTAGATAAATAGGTACCGCTTTATAGCGGGAAGGTAAACGGCGTTTCCGTGTGCTGCGCTGGTGCTGGCTCGCCAGAGCAGCTTCGTCACGCTGGCCACGTGACCCGGAAGTGTCTCCGGACAGCGCTGGCCCCCAGCCTCTTAAGGGAGATGGGCGCACAACCCTAGAGTCGGACACGACTGGCCCATACGGGCAGGGGTACCTTTACCTTTACCTTTATGGAGTTATCTGACCCCCAAGCCACCTGAAGGCCATCCTGTATAGGGAAGTTTATTTAATGTTTAATGTTTTATTATGTTTCCAAATATGTTGGAAGCTGCCCAGAGTGGCTGGGGAAACCCAGTCCAGGTGTGTGGGGCATCAATAGTAAAATTATCGTTGTGGAATGGGACGTCCCTATTTTCATCGGAGAAATGTTGGAGGGCTCAGTGCTTTTTTTCAAAGAAGCCATCTCTCACTGCTTCTTGCTGGCTATCTCTCCTGACAGACCTTCGGGAGTAATGGCTTCCAAGCAAGGACAGCTATCAGAAGACAGCCTGGTCCTGATGTGGGCAGCATGGGAACTTTTTAAAGCAAAACAAACAAGATGGGCAGGCTTGGGGAATGGAAAACTCTGGCCCTTTCAATAAAGTTCAGTAAGGTAAGTTGGCAACCTTCTCCCAAAAATTCAGAAGAAATATATTTTTCTCTCCCAGTATATATTTATTTGGGGAAGCTGAGTATCATTTTGCTACCAAACAACCAAAGTTTGAGAGCTAAAAAATATCTGCACAGCTCTAAAAATTACATTTTTGGCTAATAGGTAAGAAAAGCCCTTCTCACTTTTATGAACGCAACCCTTATATAACCCAAAGGTTACGTTAGAATATTGTCCCAGTTACTTGAAAAAGTTGGGGAAATGACTTTCTTTTGAACCAGGAGCAGCATTTTTCTGGCACTATCAAATCAGATAGAAGTTTAGAATTGCTTATTATTATTATTATTATTAATACCCTGCCCATCTGGCTGGGCTTCCCCAGCCACTCTGGGCGGCTCCCAATAGAATATTAAAAACATGATAAAACATCAACCATTAAAAACATTTTAAAAATTGGGTTGCTGCACTTAAGAACTCACACAGCCCTATAAAAACATAATAGGAACTATAACGACGTACCTCTCAGCTTGTTGAAAGCATCAGTCAGATTAGGAAATGTTTGATTCAGGTATAAGATGAGACTAAGAGATCAAAAGAGACACATCTCTTAATTTTTTGGATTCTGTTAACATTTATGTAGATGCGGGAAATTTATTCCTCTGCCCCTCCCCCTCCTAAAGTATATTGAATTAATTAACATTATATCTCTGGCAATAGGCAAGACATTCAGCTCTGGAAAACAGCAACCATGGTGCTTCATTGGAAACATATTGGTCACTGGAGGAACACAAAACCAAATTCAATAGATCATTAAAAACAAACAGCCAAGGAAACAAATGCACATTAAAAGCTTACTTCCCCAGGCTAGAAATGCTGATCAGAAGTGTATCCAGTGCCAGATTTATGCATAAGCTAAACAAGCTATAGCTTAGGGCCCCACTCTCTTGGGGGCCCCAAAAAAACTTAAATGAAAAAAATCTGGATGTACATTTCCCAAATATAAGATAAAAAACAAATAAAATAAAACCTACATACAGCAACAGTGTTTTGTATTGTGTAGGCTCCTATGATGTAAGTCATGGGCCCCGCCTGCTAGCCTGCTCCCTAAAATATCACTGGTTTGCTCATTTCTATATATAGGGTGCCTACATTCTGCATGGACTCGTTATTTTTTTATGTGCAAATGGCTTTAGATACCTATTAGGTCCATAAACTGAAGGGACGTGGGTGGTGCTGTGGTCTAAACCACAGAGCCTAGGGCTTGCCAATCAGAAGGTCGGCGGTTCGAATCCCTGTGATGGGGTGAGCTCCCGTTGCTCGGTCCCTGCTCCTGCCTGCATAGCAGTTTGAAAGCACGCCAAAGTGCAAGTAGATAAATAGGTTCCACTCCGGCGGGAAGGTAAACGGCGTTTCCGTGTGCTGCTCTGGTTTGCCAGAAGCAGCTTAGTCCTGCTGGCCACTTGACCCGGAAGCTATCTGTGGACAAACGCCGGCTCCCTTGGCCAGTAGAGCAAGATGAGCACCACAACCCCAGAGTCGTCTGCAACTGGACCTAATGGTCAGGAGTCCCTTTACCTTTAGGTCCATAAATTACCATATAGCATATATTCAACACAAAAAACAGTGACAATTTGTTGTTGACAAAGGACAGCTGGGCATATAAAGGGCCCCATTACCTTCAGTAGCTTAGGGCTTCATCAAACCTAAATCAGGCCCTGAGTGTATCCCCACGCACATGTTCAGTTAAGACAAGGGAAGAAAAATGGGACTTTTCTGATTTTGCAGCTGCCGTACTGTGGGACTGAGGTAAGGAAGAGAAGCAGTGAAGATACAATGGGGTGCACCTGCGCTTTTAAGACGGGCCTGCTTCTCCAAGACAACAATCCAATGCTGGCTAAATTCCACAGGGAGAGAGATCTTAATGGGCTTGAGTGAGCAGGAAATTAGACAGAAAGGTAATTTCAGAGCCTTTTTTAACACTTGGCAGAATGTCATGTGCCAAGGAACTGCACGCCTCCCTGTCTTTGACTTGGTTGTTTCTAGATGTTAAGAGAGCTTCCAGACTGTCCTTGGTTTTGGGGCGGATTCAGCCACATCCTGGCAAATTCAGGCTGCTCAGTTAAAGGTGATTTCTCAAAAGATTGGACTTTTCACGACAAGGAGATGCATACCGTAAAGAGTGAGGCAACACTTCTTTTCTTCTTCTTCCTCTTTTTTTTCTTCTTCTTCTTCTTCTTGTTCTTCTTCTTCTTCTTCATTACCGTAATTTTGTATACCTATAACCATAGATCTCAGGGTGGTTCATAACACTTGCTTGACATGACGTCATCTAATCTTCCCACAAACAAATCAGGATGAATCCTTCTTAAATAGCCAGTGGCATGTCTTCTTTCTCCAAATTGGCATATATTATCTCTGCAAACAAACCAGGCTGTCAATTTAAGCTTTTGTGTTTCTCTCTCAAGTGATGTTTCTATATTTTGAAACGTTAACAATTCACAGGAAGTATTTTTTGAAATGCTTGCTGAAATGTTGGTGTGTTCAAGGGGGCGTTTCTGAATGAGAACCCGTAGTAATATTTCTGAAATGGCATGTTTTGTATTGTGGGGTTAGGAGTGAGATGTATATTTATGACTGATATTGATTTAAAAGTATAAACCGAACATGGTTTTTTTGAGGGGAGAGGTTGCCTTAATTTTGATCTAAGCTGGAGAAGAATTTGGGGAAGAAGAATCTGAGCTGGAGAAGAATTTTGGGGCTTGTAAAGCTCACTTTGATGTGGGCTTCACAATCTCCTGAAACTAGGGCTCCCCCCCCCCCGGCTGGAACTCAGTTCTGGCACCTCTCAGGTGGGCGTCATTGCCATTATAAGAGAACAAAGGAGGCATCTGTGGTGGGTTCTTGCACCTCTTTTCCTAGAAAAATAGGAAATAACGATTCTCCAGTGCTGAGAACTTTGTTGACAAAAGTGGCTGTCTGAGGACAAATATGTGTAGAACAAAGAAAAGGAGAAGGACTGAGGCAAAGGAGGAAACCAAGTACAGGAAGAATATGACTTAAGGAACCTTTAATTTGCTTTACAGAAAGGAATCTGTCCAGAGACCCAGAGCCAATCTCTGCTAAGAGCTAGCCTAAACAAACACTAGATCACATGGTAAAAATGTTCTTGGTCTGAATGACTTCAGGACGTAGGTGGGGGAATCACATGGTTGAATGTATTCCCACATTACCAGCAAAATCCCTGCATGCTCCAGGGGGAAGAGATTTTCTTGGCTAAAAGAAAATCTCTCTAGCATTCTATGTGCAGGATTGTTTATTTATTTATATGCATTGAGGGTCCCCAAGTCATGTGGCCCACCACCTGCAGATCAAAGTGGGGCACTCTCAGTACAGCTACTGTTCTGGAATAGAAGATGCTCTTTTGCCCTGGTCTGTGGTACCCCATCCACTGGAATCACGAGCCTTCTGAAATCCCCTCGTGTGACCTTGCAGACAGTGGAACTGGGGAATGCATTTAGCCAGGATAACAAGGTGAAGGGAGGATAATGCAGTTCTTGCAAATTTCAACATGCAAATGAGGCCAGAGGGATGGGAAAGATTTGCGGAGCAGGTTGGATGCAGGGCAATGGTTTCTCTCTGTCTTTGTGGAGAAGCACTGCTTCATAGCGACGTATCCTAGCAATGTCTGGTTAGTGCTAGGTATATGATTTAATTGACAACAGACAGAAATCTAATCCTGACCTCTTCCCACCCCCACTGCCTGCTTTTTTTAAAAAAAGGTTCTCTGCAGTGAAGGTCTGTGAGGGTCAAAGGAGAGTTAAGGGGGTGATGGGAGCGAAATGATAGGTGCCATATGGTTTTCAAATGTGAAACAGATTGGAGGTGAAACATCAGCATGAATGCCACATGCTAAGCCCCATTTGCATAGCAATTTGTTGACCACCACTGCAAGGCTCGTCTGGACCACGGACACTTTTCTGGCTTGCCACTACTTTGATGCATCGGAGAATGCGATATCACAACTCAGAATAAGAAAATTAAATATACACAATCAGTTGAAACTGGTGGTGCTGTCCCTTCTCTGGCATATTTTGTTGTTGTTTAGTCGTTTAGTCGTGTCCGACTCTTCGTGACCCCATGGGCTAGAGCACTCCAGGTACTCCTGTCTTCCACTGCCTCCTGCAGTTTGGTCAAACTCATGCTGGTAGCTTCGAAAACACTGTCCAACCAATCTCGCCCTCTGTCGTCCCCTTCTCCTTGTGCCCTCCATCTTTCCCAACATCAGGGTCTTTTCCAGGGAGTCTTCTCTTCTCATGAGGTGGCCAAAGTATTGGAGCCTCAGCTTCAGGATCTGTCCTTCCGGTGAGCACTCAGGGCTGATTTCCTTCAGAATGGATAGGTTTGATCTTCTTGCAGTCCATGGGACTCTCAAGAGTCTCTTCCAGCACCATAATTCAAAAGCATCAATTCTTCAGCGATTAGCCTTCTTTATGGTCCAGCTCTCACTTCCATACATCACTACTGGGAAAACCATAGCTTTAACTATACGGACCTTTGTTGGCAAGGTGATGTCTCTGCTTTTTAAGATGCTGTCTAGGTTTGTTATTGCTTTTCTTCCAAGAAGCAGGCGTCTTTTAATTTCGTGACTGCTGTCACCATCTGCAGTGATCATGGAGCTCAAGAAAGTAAAACCTCTCACTGCCTCCATTTCTTCCCCTTCTATTTGCCAGGAGGTGATGGGACCATTGGCCATGATCTTAGTTTTTTTTGATGTTGAGCTTCAGACCATATTTTGCGCTCTCCTCTTTCACCCTCATTAAGAGGTTCTTTAATTCCTCCCCACTTTCTGCCATCAGAGTTGTCTCATCTGCATATCTGAGGTTGTTGATCTTTCTTCCAGCAATCTTAATTCCGGCTTGGAATTCATCCAGTCCAGCCTTTCGCATGATGAATTCTGCATATGTTTAATAAGCAGGGAGACAATATACTTCACTATAAACATCGAAAACTGTTGGCTCTGCTTACAGTTCCCCACAAAATGCCCACTGTAGTTGTTGACCAAGGGAAAACCAGAAAAGAGAAAATAAAACCAATTAAGTCAGGGGTAAATGTTTTTAATAGGTTGATCCTCTGCATTGTAGCAAGGTGAACTGACACAAAGGAGGTTTATCCAGAACTCATTATGGGTGCTTATTCACGTTAATGAAGGATGGCCGAGAACTTAACATTTTAGAGCACAAACGTAAGCATGTCTACTCAGAAGTAACATGGGATTTTCTAGTAGGCGAGTGCATGTAGAACTGTGAGATTTGTAGTACGGAAGCCACCGATCGAAGAATGTGAAATGTGAACATTACATTTCTAGGGAGATTGAAGCCAGCAGAACTTAGACCAAGCGAAGAGCAACAGCCACAAAAACTTGTAGGTATTGCAGGCGGGATGGAGGTTGTAGCTCTCAAAACTCCTCTGGGACCAAGCCAACCTTTCATGACTGAAAAAGTGTCTGCTTGCCTGCTTTTTTTCTTTACAGGCTGGAGTAGCAACGAACAAAGGACTGGCCTGTTCCCAATCATGATAGAAGCCAGCCCTGGATGCATGAACCTTTTCAACTACTGTAGGAATACGAACCCCTGTCTCTCTTTTCCCCGTCCCCTAGATAAACATTTTATCCAGCAGTACCAATTATGCACCCCAGAAATGCTTCTTTCAAAGAAACGGCCATTGTTTGGTGAGTTTGCCTCCCTACCCAGATCTTTCCATTGCTCCCTTGTCCCTCGTTGCTTGTTATTCCCCCCTTTCTCCCCCCTTCCCCCCCCTCTCTCGAAGCTTTGAAACATGTTGTTTCCAGATGTAGGCCCCAAGTGCCCTGTCAAGAGCTTCCTGTCCTGTTGAGTTCAGAGCAGATGGAATTACACAAGACTTGGCTGAAAGAATCCAATGCTCCATCTCCTTAATTAAACCCTGGGATTGTACAGAGGCTGCCCTATTCCGGCCAAGGACCCTCGCGCACCCCCACCCCGCAACGTAGTAAATGAGCGGCTCATTAAAACCATGACATCCCCGCTGACGAGGTGTTCGAAACAAACATTTTCCCCTCGACAAATATACGGCCAACCTCCCCAATTAACTCTGCTGCCTTCTCAAAGCAGCCATTGAGGGCGGCTCACTGTTTGCACCCTTGCTCAGTCAATGGTGCTTTCTTGTATGGCAGGACCCTAAGTTAGAGACCCTGAATAATAATAATAATAATAATAATAATAATAATAATAATAATTTATTACTTATACCTCGCCTGTCTGGCCGGGCCTCCCCAGCCACTCTGGGCGGCTCCCAACAGAATATTAAAAACACAATAAAACAACAAATGTTAAAAACTTCTGGAAACAGGGCTGCCTTCAGACGTCTTCTGAAAGTCAGGTAGTTGTTTATTTCCTTGACATCTGGTGGGAGGGCTGTGGAACCACTCGGGCGCCACTACTGAGAAGGCCCTCTGCCTGGTTCCCTGTAACTTCACTTCTTGCACTGAGGGAACCACCAGAAGGCCCTCGGTGATGGACCTCAGTGTCCGGGCTGAACGATCAGGGTGGAGACACTCCTTCAGGTATACTGGGCCGAGGCAGTTTAGGGCTTTAAAGATCAGCACCAAACGTACTGGGAGCCAATGTAGGTCTTTCAGGACCTGTGTTATATGGTCTCGGTGGCAACTCCCAATCACCAGTCTAGCTGCCGCATTCTGCATGAGTTGTAGTTTCTGGATCACCTTCAAAGGTAGCCCCACATAGAGCGCATTGCAGTAGTCCAAGCAGGAGATAACCAGGGCATGCACCACTCTGGCGAGACAGTCTGTGGGCAGGTAGGGTCTCAGCCTGCGTACCAGATGGAGTTGGTAGACAGCTGCCCTGGACACAGAATTGACCTATGCCTCCATGGACAGCTACAGGTAGGTAGCCGCGTTGGTCTGCCATAGTCAAAACAAAATAAAAAAATTGTGCATGCACACGAAAGCTCATACTAATAATAAACTTAGTTGGTCTCTAAGGTGCTGCTGGAAGGAATTTTTTTATTTTGTCCATGGACAGCTGTGAGTCCAAAATGACTCCCAGGCTGCGCACCTGGTCCTTCAGGGGCACCATTACCCCATTCATGACCAGGGAGTCCCACACACCTGCCCGCCCCCTGTTGGCGCCATTTATCCTCCAACCACCTCCAGAATAATTGGAGGTTTGATAGGCCCTGCGTTGTGCCTTCTTCACAAGACAGCAATATCTCACTGGGTAACCAAAGTAGATTCGGACAGCATTTCCCCCAGGGACATTACTAGGTTCCTGCCTGGGGCACAAACGCATGTGGCGGAAAGGTGCCTAAAATTTGCACGTGCTGGTTTACATGTATAGAGATACCTCTGGGAATGTAAGACTGTGTGTGACAGGAGTGATGCCAGCCACCCTATAAACAACATTTGGAAAAGCGTGTTAAGTTTTAAAAAGTGGGGGGTGGGGTGGGGGGAGAGACAGATGCAGATGACCTGGGCCCCTCTGAGCCATCGCCTAACAACACCCCTGATTTCTCATGCTAAATACCTTTTGGAGAGTTTTCTGCGGCCAAAATTAAGTATGTGTGTGTCGGTCAGAGCTCAAACCATATATAGTGTTACAAAAGTTGGGTACCTCCCAGTGCACTTAAAATTGGGTGGGTGGTGGTGGTCAGGAGAACCCCCAGAACTTTGGGGAGAATGGGGGGCTATCATTCTGTCTGGCTTCATAATCACTCTGGTATAAATTCAGAACCCATTTCAGGTGTGGGTGAAGGATCCCCAAACCCTCTACCCCAGAAAAGTGGGGTGCTTAAATTGCCCATAGACTATAATAGAGCAAAGCCACATCACTGGGATATTTTGGCGACTTAAACCCTCTGAGCTCTGGGAAATGGATGTGGGCAGTAAGGTCCTTTTTTATATATATATAAGATATTTATTGAAATTTTCAAAGTGTTACAAACTAAAATAAAAACAGGGGGAAAAAATACAAAATAAAAATGATTAACAAAATGGAAAAACAAAAAACAAAAAAAACAAACCCCTTCCAACCATACAAATACAAATTCAAAAATAAGAAAAAGAGACAGAAAAAAAACCAAAAATACACCACCAACAATTAAGAACATTTAAAAACAAATTCATTATTCTCGAATCCTCAACTGTCATTACCTTCTTTCTTTGACCTCCTCCTCCTCCCTTTCTTTGTATCCTAGTTATTAATTATCCCAGCAAATCCTTTCCATATTTCATAATATTCTGTCATTACATTACCCTAAACTGTTTTAATCTTATCTTTCTATAAGAAAATAAACCTTAAAGCTTAAAACTTAAATCTTATCCTTACCAACTTCTCATAACCATAATATTCTTTCATAATTCTTTAAACATCTTTACTAAAGCCGAGTAATTTCATTCCAACATTTTTCTGACATTCATCAATTTTATAAAACAGTCCTAATGGTAGAAAAAAGAAATACAAACAGATCCAATCTTCATCCAACGTCCCTTCCTCCTGGTTCCGGGTTTTGTCAGTCCTTATTATCCCATCGATCTAGCCCATTAACCTGGCAACCTTATATCCGAGGCCCTCAAGTCTCTTCCATGTCCCTTCTGCAGCTCTTCTTCATATTTGTATCTGTATTTTCCCTTGTCTCCTGCTCGTGGTAACTCCAGCTTGGCAATATTTTTAACCCTTCTCGACAGATCAGCCCCTTTCCCATATTCAGCACTAAATTCCATATGGTATTTAAAGGCATGTTTCAAAAATCCTCCAAAATTAAGAGCCCCCACAATCCCAAACATCTCACGGCCCATTGCCAGATTTGAAAAGTCCAAACATCCCAGCATAGGGGGGTCAATCCAGCCCCCCATTTCCAAGCCAAACCAAACTTTTTCTTTCCAAATCTGGCTTTTTCCAAGTTCATTTGTCAAATCCGAAAACCCATATTCCTGTTGGGCCTGTTCTGTCAGGACACACTCCTGATTTAATTCCTGGGTGGGCTCCACATATTTTCCCACTGTCTGTTCAAAATTTCCCACTGCCTGTTCAAAATTTCTAGTCGAGGTCGCCATCAAATTCATCTTCTCATGTAACTGTTCCAGTAGGGCATTTGTTTTATAGAAAGCACACAACAGAGCTTCTGAATACATTGTCCTGCAAGGTCAAATGCCTATTCCCACGATTGTAATCTGTAACAGCTGCCGGCTCCCTCTAGGGGGGAAACTTCTATTTGTTCTTGCAACAAAGTTTCCCTTTTTGAGATACTTTGTCAATATTTGTCCCTTTAAAATGCGAAGGGAAACAGTGGAATCACTATGTTTCTCTTCTTTTAGCTATCTGTCAAAAACGTTTGTCTCTGGTCAATGAACTTCAAACGTCAGTCCTGACACCCCGCTCCAGGATCAGGACGGAGGAAAGTTGCTTTACTTTAAACTCACTTTAAACAGTCCGAAAAGATCCCCTTCTTCTCCTGCTGTCGAAGGGGGGTTCCACAATTTTAAATGATGAAATCCAATCCTTTAAAGGCGATTTTCTGAGCTCTAGTTTACGTTGTCTTTGCTTTATTCTGTCTACAAAAGAACGGAAGGCTGACTTCCTGTTTAGACCTTCCCGTTCAGTACCAAATTGAAATAAATTTTTAAAAATCCAATTCCTTTCTGCTCGCAAGTCTTTATTTAAGGTCCAGTTGTTCAAAGTTTAAGTACTCATGGGTGCTTATTTTAGAGTCCAAATTGTCCCAGGAAAAAGGCAGCGCTCTCCGGCAACGGCTATGCGGCTTCGCTCCACGGAAATAGCAGTTGACTCACAGCACCGCGCCACTTCCCCCTCTTCACTTCGGAGCCCATTAGTGGGTTCCTTAGCGAGTTGGGGGGGTGCTAAAGGTGCCCGCCGAGTCCCATGGTCACAGGCTTCATCCGCCTGTGATTTTTAAAAGGGTCCCCGCTTCGCCGTAGCGGAGAAGACCCGTTTCCCGCGGAGCTAGTCCCTCCAGTTCAGAGGGAGTCCGCCTTGCCGATGGCGCCACCCCGGAAGTCCGGCAGTAAGGTCCTTTTTGCCCTGGCAGCCTGGTCCCCTATTGAAAGCAGCAGGTAGCAAAAATAACATGAAACGGATAAAATAAGCAGAAACAAATGAGTAATGAACTAAATGTGATTTTACCAAATGAGCAACTAAACCATTTCCCCCTTTGATATTGAAAATGAATGGAGCAACAAACACATGCTGAGGACCAGCTGGGAAGGGGGGAAAAGACTATTCCTCTGAGCCACATACCAGTTTCTCCCGGGATTTGCAGCTGTGCATGTGTGAGAATAGGTTGTCCGTTTGATTTTTAAATGTTTTTCAGCCCCTGTTAAAGGTCAGAAGGTGAAATAATAATTCACTAAATAAATAAATAGAGAGGGATTCACTTAAGGCGTTCCATCAGCGGAAGCCCTGTGCAAAGTTTTGTGCTTGCGCAACGAGGATTCCTGCTTTGGCAGTGTCCCTCAAATTGACTCGGTGGTGGTGGTCAAGAGAACCCCCAGAATAGCATATTGGGGGGAGGATGGGGGGGGCAGCATTCTGTCTGGCAAGCTCCTTGCGCTGATGGAACTTAGCGTGACATTGAATTCCTTCCATAATCTCCACATTTCTGCCTTTTCATAGAAACCAGCTAAAACGTTTACACAGCTTCTACAATATGTCCAGGCTTTGACTCAAATGCAGTTGTGAAGGAGAGGAAGTTTCTGATTTAGAGAGCAGCCATTGGGAATGTCTATCAATGCATGTCTTTGTGAGTGTAATATTATATAGAGGACTTTATCGAGAAGTCAAATGTGTTGCCTTTGAAAATGGCAACCAAGAACTGATCTCAGTGATCTAAGAAGCGATCCTTGGTTCTTTGTGTGTTGTGGCAGCTTCTAGTTTAATGAAGGGTTTTTCATTAGATATCTGAAGCTCTAGAATTTTTATTATAATACATTCTAAGTTTTTAAACTTTATTGTGTGTCGTTGAGCAGTTGTTTAATAAATATCATTGGGCAAATTGTATAAGCCTGTTCCTTGCCTGGTAAGTGCCTTTGCCCAGTGGGGCTGTGACCCATAGATTGCAGCAAAATACTGGGCAAGGTTTTACCCAGTATCTTGTCTGTGCAATGGGCTCATGGGGAAAAGCTGTCCCATGAGCCCTTGCAAAGGGGAAGTGAAAGCCTATACAAGGCTGCTTCCCCTAGAACTCATGGCTATTTTGCTCGGGAGCTTCCTGCCTTCCCACCCACAGGATAGAGGCTTCACTGAGCAATTTTGGGTCGCTGGTTGACCTCATTGGGTCCCCCCCCCCCGCCTTTCCCTCAATGAAATTATGGCCTTCCTTTGTTAGGCGAATGACGTTTGTACGAGGGCGGAAATGGTATTGGGCAGGATCAACATAGTATGGGGGTCCCCATAAGGTACCTGAGAGGAGAATTGAGCACAGCACCCCCAGGCTTGAGGTATCAGCGTCGTAGGAATCTGCACCCGGGTCTCCCAGTGAGAGCTTGCTTGGCTTGCACCACGGCAAGGTTCAACATTGTTTGACTCCCATCGCACAAGCTTGAAGCGGTCCAAACCCAGTGGATCCATTCCATCAACATGGGGCTTCTGGAATGATCGACTGATCCTGGCTCCAATGCCATGCCAACCCTTGCCCTGCCTGCGGTTGTCAATGAAGATTCGGCCTGATTTTACTCTTTCACTGTTATACAGTCTGCTTATTTTGCTGCTCTCATGGGTCACATAATGTGTCTGCCTCGGCAAATAAAGATCCTGTCCCTTTGGGGGCTCTTATAAGATCTGTTTCTCTCCCTTTTTGCATGCTAGAAATAGCTTAAGCTTGCTGTTTTTGTTGTTTTGCAGCTGATATTTGTATTTTAATCTTTTATTAATACTGTAAGTAAGCTATCTAGAGATCAATGTAGTTGATGGTGACATATGACTGTTGTAAATAAATCAATATAACCACATATGATGGGGACTGATGGGAAAGAAAGTGATCCCTAAAGCATGAAGGCCTCGATCCATTTAGGATTCCGTGCTGCTATGTCCTGTTTTGCAACATAGCAACTTCAGAAGTTGCCTTTGATTATTTTTTGTGCAGACATCTACGCTCCATACAGAAGGAAATGTACTGAATGTTCTTCCACGATTATTGTTCCACTAGGAAATCATTACAGTAATACCCTGCAAGCTGAGTAATTACTATTTACAAAGATCTGATAAAGTCTTATATTTTCCATTAGTACTGAACTATACTAATTTCCTGTCTTTTTATAGTGTAGGCACTTGGGATTCCAACTCATTCTCAGAACTCTAAAACCATGAGCGGTGAAGAGGAAAAACACCATTTTCTCTAGGATAGATGGTGGCTCACACTTCATCACAGGAAATTCCAGGGCGATGGAGGCAGGCCATTATAAAGCTTGGCTACTCAGTCCCAAAATTCTAGAATCAGCAGTGCCCTGGAAAATGCTGGGAAATAACTGGGGAATACCAGTTAATCCTGAAGTCCCACGTGCGTGGGGAACTACAAAGAAGAAATGGCTGGCTGGCTGAATTCAAGTAAGCATGCAGGGCTTGACTCACTCTTTAGCCAAAACAGCCCCCAGCTGAGTGTAAAACACAGATCTATGCAGCAAGGCACGGGAAATATAGATTGTTAGACCTTTAATGTCCCAGTGTTAAGCGCTTAAAATGCTGCTTCCCCCGCCTTTACTCCTCTCAAATAGATCACAAACTTAAGTAAGTTTAAATGCTTTACTTACAGTAGCCATAGGCGTCTCACTCATGTATCGTTCAATGCTTACAGCAGAAAAAGCATAGGCAAGGTAGTCTTGGTTACAAAATACAGAGGTTGGTCTCAGACACGTGGTCTGAGTCTGAAGTCCCAGCCATGTGCACAGCTTACACGGTTCAAAGCGGGGGTGGGGGGGAGAGATGAATCGGAAACAAACAATACTTCCTCCCTAAAGGTAAAGCTCCTGCCAACCTAGCAGTTCGAAAGCACGTCAAAGTGCAAGTAGATAAATAGGTACTGCTCCGGCGGGAAGGTAAACGGCATTTCCGTGCGCTGCTCTGGTTCGCCAGAAGCGGCTTAGTCATGCTGGCCACATGACCCGGAAGCTGTACGCCGGCTCCCTTGGCCAATAAAGCGAGATGAGCACCGCAACCCCAGAGTCGGTCACGACTGGACCTAATGGTCAGGGGTCCCTTTACCTTTAAAGGTAAGGCGCCTAGCTGCGCCTTCTTTAACAATTTACAACTCTGTGGTCCTTAAACCCTTTCTTATTGGCAAAGACAGTTGTGTTTGACGGCATGAAATCTCCCACAGAAAGGGGAGGTGAAAAGCCATCAACAAAATCAATCCTAAGGGATGGGATGAGAATGATCTTACATAGAAGTCTGAACAGGAGTGAATGAAGTGGCCATCATTTTCTCACTCAGTGGCTCCTAGATGAAAGATGCCCACAGGGCTGCCGTTTCAGCAGTCCTTGTGTTATTAGTAACCGACATCCCACCAGCAGGAACTGGCTATGAATTATCCACAAATAAGCTTAAATGTGACTGAACACATTTGTTTGTTTCTTTTGATGATGGGAGAATTCTGTGAAAACAAAAGATCAGAAGACAGGACTAAACTGCAATTTCCAAACTGGTTGATTTCCATTTAAACGGGAAGCAAAAATCCCACTGTCCCAAGGGGAACAAGATCTAAAAAGCAAAAGGTTCAGAGTTACCTCCTTTTGTGATGGTTTTGAGCTTTCCCACAGGTAGTGATTACCAGTGACTCAGTAGACAGAGGCCTCCGGTCTGAATTCTTTATTACATGTTACTCAAGCAATCCAAACTCATCAGTTCTGGTAATATTACCTCTTCTGAAGAGCTAAGCTTTTGGAATCATGCAAATTGAGGCTTTTAAGAGAGAGATCAACAGACCCTTGCTTCTGAGTGGGATTTCTTTTTACAGAGTGCTGTTTTTATTCATTAATTTCCAACTACATTCACATATTATAGGGATCAGAGGGGGAAGACATCTGAGTACACATAATATCCAAGTAATTGAAGCAGCAAATGGTTCCACCCATTTTTAAAATAGAGCATATATTGTCACATGTATAAGAACCTTCATGACAAGTTTTCTCTTTATTTCTTAGGAAATGGGGTATTTGAAGTAAAACCTATTTTAGATGGAAAGGAAGAGTATCAACATGTGTTTGCATCAATAGGAAATAGCAAAGTAGTGTCATAGAGCTTCTTTATGCTGATGACAACGTAGTGTGCACACACTCGGAGGATGACCTCCAGACCATCCTAAATATGTTCAAAGAAGCTTATGAAAAGCTTGGTCTATTGCTCAGTAGCCAAAAAAACCCAATGTGCTGCATCACCAAACACAAAACCAACCCCTTTGCAGCACCACAAATCTAACTTAATGGTGTAATGTTGGAAAATGTTGATCATTGTTCCTATCTAGGCAGTTATATTTCCACAAGGGCCGACACTGATGCTGAAATCCAGCAATGCCTGAGCTCTGCAAGTGCAGCTTTCTCCCAATTGAAGTGTAGAGTGTTTGAGGACTGGGACATCCGCAGGGAAACCAAAATGCTTGCTTACAAAGCTGATGTACTATTAATTTTACTGTGCACTTGTGAAACATGGACCACTTACAAACGCCATCTCCAGCTCCTCGAAAGATTTAATCAACGGTGTTTCTGAGAATTTTTACATATCACTTGGGAAGACAGGTGAACTAATGTCAGTGTACCGGAAGAAGCAAAGATCGCCACTGTCAAAGCAATGATTCTTCAACATCAACTTTATTGGACTGGTCATGTTGTTCAGATGTCTGATTATCATTTTCCAAAGCAACTACTCTATTCCGAACTTAAGAATGGAAAATGTAATGCCAGTGGACAACAAAAAAGGTTTAAAGACACCCTCAAGACAAATCTTTAAAAATGTAGTGTAAACATCAGCAACTGGGAAACACTGGCCTGTGAGCACTCCAGTTGGAGAGCAGTCTTTACCAAAGGTGTCATGGACTTTGAAGATGCTCAAACTCAGGATGAAAGGGAGAAACATGCTAAGAGGAAGGCATGTTTGGCAAATCCTCATTGTGATCAGCTCCCACCCAGAAACCTATGTCCCCACTTTGGAAGGACGTGTGGATCCAGAATTGGCCACCACAGTCACTTACAGACTCACTGTTAAAACTGTGTTCATGGAAGACAATCTTCCTCGACTATGAGTGATTGCCGAAGAAGAAGAAGAAGAAGAAGAAGAAGCAGCCAAGAGGTTAGCACTCATGATTTTGGTGCAACTCTAGCAGGGACTTGGAACGAACAGCGAGAGCTTATGCTTTGAACATACTCAAACCCCACAATATTCTGTTACCTTCTTTCCTCTAGTTCAGTGTAATGTACTTCTGGTTGTAAGGTAGAATAGTGAACCAGGAGTTTCCTGCACAGACATTCCCTTAGACAAGATTTATAGGGTCTGGTTTTCCTGCTTTCAATCATTCATTTCCTTTCTAAAGGGTCTATTCCCCTTCCTACTCAGTTGCTTAAATTAGGGCCAGTTTGTGCCCTAATATAACACTACTTTTCTCCTCTTGTCTGTGACCTGTGTGTTTCAGTGCTGTTTTCTTTCCTGAGTCAGGAAGAAAGGGGCAGCTGGTTGCTGCCTTCCACTCATCGCTGTTATTTAACATCCAGTATGTTTGCTTTCCTTCCACAGCTGCAGTTCTGTTCTGCCTGCATTCAGCCTCTGACACCTTTGCTGGGAGCCAAATCCTGCTCATTTGCATGTGTGCAGCTCCATCAAGCTTTGAGATTTCCCAGGCATCCACAGAATTTCTTGGTGTCCCTCCACCATAATTTCTTTCGCTGGGCAGCCTCATTCCATGAACGCATATTATTGGCACCCTTGGCTGAAAACAAACAAACTTTGCTGCAGAAAGATTAGCCATTTCATTTTAGGACCATACGTTTGGTTGAGATGAAACCACCAGGTATAAAGTCAATTTATCAGGATTATCCCGGCTTCAGCTGACCTCACATTGCACCAGTTGTGCAATGCTGGCTTTGTGCTGGTTCACAGCACACATGTATGTTCTCACAGTGGTGCTAAATGGATCGTCCGTGCCATAGATTCATGTTCCCAGGGTTGGCCTTGGATAGACAAAAGTGGTCATAGATGCAGGTAAAGTGCCCCTTTGCCATTTGACCAACTTTTAAATACCTTTGTTTTTATTGCCTTTGTAGCCTATTTTACAGCTTAGATGCATGATCCCAACCCCCCGTCATATAAGACAATAAATTTGAATCAATGGATTTGTTAATAACCATTCACATATGTGCTGTTTAATGGATAAGAACATATGTTTTGAATTTTCCCATGGGGAAGAAGAAATGAAGAAACGTGAACATAATGCTGGCCTCTCAGATCAGTCTTGCCAGTTTTCAAGTGAAGATGCAGTAGTGGTTTCAACCACTTAGTTGAATCACTAGCTAATAATAATAATAATTATTATTATTATTATTATTATTATTATTTTATTATTTGTTTGCCCCCCCGATTTTGTTGTGTCAAAACCTTTCTTTCTGTCAAGCTTAAAAACATCATTTAATTGGTGATACTGCAACCAATCCATTAACAATTCTCTAATATCCTCAGTTTTTCCCCCAGTTTTAATTGGTCTCCTGCCTCTTTTATTGAAGGGCATTCTCTGCAAAGGAAAACAAGACACATATGTGGCTGGCTGAACAAATCCAGCTGAATAAAGGTCTACGTTGAAATTTGCAAAGGTTTTTTATGGGTGAAAAATCAGTAAGATTTATTTTTATTTTTTTAAGGAATTAAAATAAGGAAAAGGTCTATTCTGGCAAAAGAGCGGCATGACAGCAATGGGGAATTTAGATGTGAGGCCTTTGCGTCCAGCCCCCTCGGAAGGGGATGAAGTAACTGTGCCAGTTCACGGCCTTCTGTAGCTCATCGTGTTATGAAATGCAAATTGGCAGAGGCGTTGAAGAAAAGGATTGACACGCTGGCAGGAATCTTCTTGTTCATACCACTTCTCCTCCCTTCCACCGTTTTTTCCCCGTTCTCTCTCCAGAAATGATTCCCACCCACCCCCTCTCCCCAGCCCCATGTCTGGAGGTACCTTTCCTCTTTTGTTTGAGCAAAGGGCTTGTGGCATTATTCATATCCCAGAAAGTCCAGGAGGGGGAGGGAAGAGGTTGGAACATCTGGATTGCAGGGCGTCTCTCTTGCAGCACGGGCCTTTGAAGAGGGAAACATTCTGTTTTCATTTTGCCCCCCCCGGCGTCATGTGACGTGCTGCTCTTTGTTAAACTTTCTAGCTTCTCTATTGGCTGGAAGTGTTGTTTCGCTTGGAGGTGGCGAGGGACAACCTCAAAAGGCAGTCGTGGGCCATTTGGTTAGAAAACTAAAACAAAGAGCTTCAGCCGATGGTTTTCTTGGGTCCAGATCCAGATGTGAGGCCGTCGCAGATGCAAAGCACAAACACATAAACCCCTGAGATGCACTTAGCATCTCATCAGAAAATAAATCAAGTGTAGGAAGGGAAGTGAAAAAGACATTTGTAAGGCTATCGAGCAAAAACCTGAACTATCTAAGCTTAAGGCAGGGAGAAAAGATATGAATGTGAACCAGCTATTCACCATAAAATGTCTTAATGTGGTATGAATTATCACCATCTATCAGATGCAAACACACACACCAATCAAAGTTAAGCACTTTTAAGGGCCTTTGAGTTCAATAGCGGGAATCTAAGCCCTTTTGAAACTTCTGTTTAAATCACTGGACTCCAAGGTACTAAACTTTAATTGGATTGTGCCGGTAGGCAGGAATCCTATGTAAGGAAATAGGCTGGTTTAGTTATTCATGACTCATTTTAACTCTTACAAATTCCATGAGTCACTCCATTAAGACCAGTGAATTAGTAACAGACAAAAGCATTAGTCAGTACACATGTGGCTATTAATTTCTGGTCATTAAAATGTGTCATATTGCTTAAATGTGTGTGTATCAGTCATCTGAATAGTGTGCCATGATGCCGAATATCTCAGATGAGTGTTTGATGATGTTTGATGCTCATTGTGGGTTGATTGCCAAATTGGACTTTTTTTTAAAAAAAAAAGTCTGCTTTTCACTGTGTGAGTTTGTCCTTATTCCTTTTTATTTATAAGAGAGATTTCGATCATGACACTGAAATTTACATTTTACACTATCACTGGCATCACTGGCATCATTTGTTAGACTTGCTATCCTCTTGTATCGTAGAGGTCTCCAAGTGACTTAATCATCATACTAGTCCTTATGAAGTCTGGGGTGTGTGTGTGAATCTTCTGAAAAGATATCAGCGAAGGTACTGTGCAGCCCCCACTGGGGAGATTGTCCCACAGATTCATCCGCAACTGAAATAGTCCTGTCTTGTCTTCCTCTAAGTTTCCCTTGAAGAATTGGCCTGGCCTCAGATGATGATCTAAGAATCTGGGCAGGGTTATATGAAGAGAGGCATTCCAGAAGATCTTTCGACCATAAAGAGCTTTATATTTCAAAATCGGCACTTGCAACGGGACCTGGAAGATAATATTAATTTTGCAGTGCTTCCCTTCTTCATTAACTTTCTGGCTCAGGAATGCTGCTTTTAACCACTCGCCTGCACTGGGAATCAGGCTTTATTTATTAGCTCAGGATTTTCCACGGCACTTCAGGGGAACAAGGATTGTGGTCTCTGATGGTTTTTCTCAGCATGCTAGCTTTGTGATGGAAGACTTACAGTGACTTAGGCAAATTGATCCTTTCCTTTGTTCACTGAGCCAGAACAGGAGGCTCCACGATCAGGCACATTTTCTGCCTTTGTCCTAACCAATGAGTCTCACTCATTTTTATTTGCTTGTTTTCACATAACAGAAGCTCATTAGCGTTACAAGACCCCACGGTTCGGTTCGTATTTCCAACCCATCAAATTCAGAAGCATCTTTTGCTGCAAAAACCGAAAAAGGGCACATCCACACCACGACCAGCTTGAACAATAAGTTCTTCTTTCTGGGGTGATTCTGCGAATTGCAGTTGTGTGAGGATGATAGCAGGAGTCCACCAGCCATTCTCAACACCCTTAGCAAACTACAGTCCCCAGGATTGGTGTAGTGCCAAAACTGCTTGCACGTTTGCACAGCTAAGCAGGGTCTGGTCTGGTTTCAAACTGGATGGGGGGCCGGGTGTTAAGATTCCTGCATTGCAAGGGGCTGGACTAGGTCCTTCCAACCTTACAATTCTATGATTCTTTGTGGAGGGAGCCCTGATTCTTAAAGTTGTATAAAAATTATAGATTCAGGTAGGTAGCCGTGTTGGTCTGACGCGGTCGATATATATATATATATATATATATATATATATACACACACACACACACATTCAGTAGCACCTTAGAGACCAACTAAGTTTGTTCTTGGTATAAGCTTTCATGTGCATGCACACTTCTTCAGATACCAGTGTGGGTATCCCTCTATCACGAACGATGAGTTTTCCTAATATAGTCCACCTCCTGGCTGTAAAATCTTCACAGTTAATGGACCCCAGCATAGCATTACATGCAAATATGTGTGGACACATATCTTGTGAAATAATAATAATAATAATAATAATAATAATAATAATATATTATTATTACTATATTATTACCCCGCCCATCTGGCTGGGTTTCCCCAGCCACTCTGGGCAGCTTCCAACCGAATATTAAAAACAATACAGCATCAGATATTAAAAACTTCCCTAAACAGGGCCACCTTCAGTTGTCTTTTAAAAGTAGAATAGTTGTTTATTGCCTTGACATCTGCTGGGAGGCCGTTCCACAGGGCAGGCGCCACCGCCGAGAAGGCCCTCTGCCTGGTTCCCTGTAACCTCACTTCTCACAATGAGGGAACCGCCAGAAGGCCCTCAAAGGAGGACCTCAGTGTCCGGGCTGAACGATGGGGGTGGAGACACTCCTTCAGGTATACTGGGCCGAGGCTGTTTAGGGCTTTAAAGGTCAGCACCAATACTTTTAATTGTGCTCAGAAATGTACTGGGAGCCAATGAAGATCTTTCAGGACCGGTGTTATATGGTCTCGGTCACCAGTTTAGCTGCCGCATCCTGGATTAATTCCAGTCTCTGAGTCACCTTCAAAGGTAGCCCCACATAGAGCGCATTGCAGTAGTCCAAGCAGGAGATAACTAGAACATGCATCACTCTGGCGAGACAGTCCGCAGGCAGGTAGGGTCTCAGCCTGCGTACCAGATGGAGCTGGTAAACAGCTGCCCTGGACACAGAATTGTGTGAAATGATAGGCAAATGACATGTCGGGGCACCTGAAACCAGAGAAAATGGTTTTGGGGCTGAATTTGGTCCACGGGGCTACTGGTCATCCCTTCCTGCATTCATAAATGTCTCGAGCGCTT